CTTGCTTAACGAAATTGATTTTTATTCATACTACCTAGTCAAATTGTAATCAAAGATTATTGGTAGTGTTCCGTTTCCGTTATAGGTAATAAGCGTGAAGTATGTTACGTTGAAGAAAGCTTACGTATCGATCTCCTTGATTGCACCATGGAACGGTTTAAACAATACCATCACGCTATCGCCGTATAACTGCGTTACGAATGGGTTACGTATAGACGCAACTAATTTATTGCGAAAGTTATTTACGTCAAAGGCTACGCTTGGCATGAATGTTTCTTGCGTTTGATTCATCACAATCAGCCCTCAGAAGGTCCCACCAGTGTCATTATTATGGGTACGACGAAATTGTTTTGTTCAAAATGAATAATGTTGACAAAACAATTTAAATTTTGTTTAGTTACCACTAAAAAGAGATCTAATGCTAATGTATTTAGATTTAGATGCTGCTAGTTTAAATTTAACTAGAATAATATTTGGGTCGCTAAAAATATCTAACTCTCAGACAAATTGAGATCTCAAACTGATAAATAGATACATTATCAAGGAGTTACGCAATGTAAAGCCACTTATTTTGGACTCATTAGATAGCCAGCAATTGATCATAGTTCGGCGATAAAGCAAAGATAATCCCAAGATCGCTGCTGACGTTAACTTTAGCGGAGTTTGAACAACTGATTAATTTAACGTTAGATCCTGGCACGGCAGCTCATTCCCTTAACAAAATGTGACTTAATAATTCCTAGTTCTTGATCAACTTAAACGGAAATCCTTGGCTGGATCACCGTCCGTCTAGATCAAACTGTTGGAAAAATAAACCAAATGTTGGAATAGTAAATAATAAATGAAGAACATTACGAACAATAATGTCGCAATCGAAAAGGTACAAAAGATGGGGATAAGAAAAGATTTTGAGAAAAGATTTCGAATCCTTGAAAATGTCGTTATTAGTGGTTCAAAGGTTGACGGTTGAGTATCTGTTGTTAATTTCTTTTATATTCAATAGAAAGAAGTAAATTGTAGAGAAGTATCCAATTCTATGAATCTCCCTGCTCGTGGGTCAGCTACCCTTCCTCATACATTAACGCCACATGCATTAGGCCCATATCTCACCCCGGGGGACACTCCTTACGCCCCCTTGATAAAATTACTACTAAGACACGTGTCACATAAACATCACATAGATGATGTTTTGTGTGTGTAGATACACTTACGACGTCGTTGTTACAAAATTTGATTCCGGCGTGAAATTAACTGAACCTGAACCTAACGTTAAAATTAGATTGTTTACTGAAACTAAAAAGTATTTTGCTAATAAATGTTATGAACAAAGTTAAATTAAAATTGTTGAACCGCTATCTAGTTGTTTCAGTTAGTTGGAGGACACAACATTAATGCTACTCTTAGTGACTTTGTCTTATTTCTGGCGTTAGGTACATAGTCTCATTAGGGAGGTGCCAGTCCAGGTAGTCGGTCAATGACCTTTTGCCTCTTTTACGGCTACTACCCACTTTGAAACTAACCAAGCTGAAATGGAAAATTTTATGTTATACATAATATTATGTAAATAAATCAAGATGAATAAGAAATACTACGAGTATTTAGTTACATAATTTAATTTTATCATGAGCAAGAAAAGATGCCCTTTGAACAAAAACACTTAATCACTTACCATCAGGTGATCCGTCTGCTCGTTTGCCTCCTATCACATAAAAAAAAAAACATACATTTCGTTGTATTCTATGGTATCTGCAAGTGAAGCAACGGCCTCATTTGTGGTCTCTTCTATGTCCTGTTCAAAGGCAGCCACTGTTTTATTGTTGACAGTAAAACCATTAACGAGGTGACTATTACATTGTAAACTGCCGTGTCTTCATTTGCTTACTAGGCATAGCATCATTAAGGTGTGTGATTCCGCCCCAAGGAGGCTACTGCATATTTACATAGATTAGCATAGACTGAGAAACGATTCGGCGTCATACATTTCAAATCCGCATTAAACTGGTGAAACGCTATTGAATAATCATCAGAATCGTTGGCAGCATTGTGTACGTTAGTGACACGAGAATCTCTGGTAGGTCTCTGTACAAGGCTCGCTCATTGGGAGTCAACTTCGCCACAACCTGTGCAGCCAAATATGGAGATGACGCCGACATCTGGCACCCGTCACGACTAAATCACGGCAATAATAACATCATCTATATTGCTGTTTTAGCTCTTTTTTATTTGACAGAATTAATTATGTTACCGTTACCAACAACTTACTTATTTAATTTCTCAACAGAAACTTAACTGATGATTCATTGTCTATACAAATGTATTGAAAGTTACCATTTACCCTTCATTGGTAATTGCTAAACTACCAAAGACGAAAATAAACATCAATTAAAGTTAAACAAAACGCATGTAGGCATTGATTGTCAATTCAGTGGTGTATAACAAACAAGCTTGTACTACAGTTGATGAGTTCCAATTTATCAAGAAACCCGACCCTCGTAAATACAGTTTGACCCGGCTACCGGCTTTGACTTCTCGCTAATAAGTCAATAAGTCTCAATTGATTGTGACTACTGTACTGTGAGACAAAAGATGCGGTAACAGCCTTAGCCTATATTTTCATCGAAACGTGACTCTTTCAGATGGTTTATTCTTTAGTCAAGAGACTATCAGATAGTATCAAGTTCAGCCATCCTATTACTGGATTAACAGGGTATCTCTACAATAGTATCATTTTGTCAAATATAATAAAGTTACCTACATTTTCTCAAATATAATAAAGTTACCTATTTTATATATTTACATAGGTTTAGTATTTACTGCGCACAATGTACCTATTGTGTATTTGAATTGCCAATTTAACCCTGGAATCCAATTAACGATATCCATGTCCTTTTGTTGAGCAGCTGCAGTCAATCAACGTGTAGAATTAAATCAAGATTCTAGGCTCGTGTCTGAAGGTAGTGTAAAGCTATATCAAGGCTTTGATACATAGTAATAATTGAAGGAGGAATTGAATTTCTCGAAAACCTAATTGTTCGAACGAACCTCAAAATTCTTTAGTCGTTGATGAAGGATTATTATTGAACAACGTTTGTTAGTCATGCCTGAAACAGAAGTTTTTTATTTTCTTTCAAGATTCAATTTAGCCCAAGTTCTATGCGGGCTGACGTAAATGTAGTTCTATATTCAATTAAAATCTGATAGCAAGATGAAGAAAGTCTATTATGCTGTTCGACTCCATTCTGTTTTAATAACAGTTCGTTCGTTTTTGCCGCTATATCAGTTGGTCACCTATATTTAATTGATATTTTAAACTTTCATTCGTGTAATGTTGCATAATGTCTAGTTTTATTTTCATATTGTACGTATAAACTTTTATTACACATGCCTTTGTTTATTATTCGCATTTCCGTCGCAAAAAGCTGGAACAAAACAACATCCAGCCAGGAGTTGTCCCCTTCATACAAGATGATTCAGTTTGGAGTTCAGCAGGAATTTGTAACTATGTCAATGTTTGCTCGGTCCATTGGGGATTTTGGTTCACTCTGAGTCACAATGAAGTCATGGTTGTTCTTAAACAAACTTTACGTAATGTTATAAAATTCTATTGTAACAATTGTGTTATCGGCAGTTATTGTTCTTAGATCACGTTTTACTTTAGCGAACAAACAAAATTACGGTTTTATAAACCAAAGGAATTATTCGGATTTTGTAATTCAGGCACTCTGACTTGAATTTTACTGGTGTACTATATTGTCATAGAATTTCCCGATCGATACAAAGATTAACTTTATCCCATTAACACTTTTACTGTAAGATGCGATAAATCTTTTATATAATCTACGCTGACTAAACCTCAGGTGAAAGAATAAGGTCTATTTCCGGCTGGCAGTAAACAAAACAATTCGTCTCGAATTACTTAATATCTTATCCAAATAGCCAATCAATCGTGAATCTTATGGTTCCAACATCAGTCACGCTTTCGTCGCTAATTCACTTTAGGCGAACTTTACAGAATAATATATGAAATCGGTGATGATGCACAGCTTCTGTACCATGTTTACTGACGGAGGATATTAAAGTGACGCAAATACCAAGTAATATTCAAATTAAATAAGTAACTAAATTATAATTTATTTGTAAACCATTTACCTCTAAGTATTAACTCTCCTGTCAGTACTTAGAGAAGCACAATGAAGCACTAATGTAGTAAATTACAAAGTAAATCCATTTGTTTTAATCTTTCCAGACTGGTGGTAATGAGTTCTATTCTAACTAATATTGGCGTTATTGTTTTTTGCATGCCTATTGCCTAGTATTTGTTATGATTTATGATCACAACGGAGCAGCTATATTGTTGTGGACACGAACATGTTTTAATTAATATTCATTTTCTTGGCGTAGGCTGAAATTAAGATTATGATGAGTTTCTTCAGACATAAAGTTGTTTATTATATGATCTGTATATGGTACAACCTTGAGTTCCTTCGTTACAACGAATATGGTGACTAATTAAATGTTTGAGTTTTCCAGCGTTATTTCTTGAGTGGCGTGGGTGCTCATATGCGCAATATCTGTATGATATAATATCCTATTGTTTGATGAATCGTCTTCATGATTCCGTATTTGAAATTTAAAAAACCTGCTATTCGTTATTAGCATGATTTACACTAATCGAGCGTAAGAAAGAAGCGAAAGTTAGAATACGAGCGTGACTTAGTGTTACACCTAAAATAGCCATATTAAATTGATTTCGTCAGAATGATCGTTACGCAATCAAACGCAAAATCAAAGATTCGCTTTTAAGTTATTTATGAACGTAAAACAGTGAATTAATTTTTTAAAATGTAATAGGTACCTAGCTTTGGTGAAATAATGGTTCTTGTCTATAAACCGTTATCCTCATAAGCGCCGTAAATCTGCGCATATTATCATTTATTTGTACTCGTATCACGTGAATAATTACTTAAGCACATGCCATAAAGACATCATTTTACTACACTTGCAACGTTGCATTGCAGCACAATACACGAAGAGATATCTGTTGGTACGCTGCGCTGGTTACGAGCAATATCTGAGCGTGCTCAACGCATTGACCGCGCACGGGCTACCCCTTTCACTTGTATTCGCATTCAACGGATCGAGCGGAACGCGAGTGCGCCTTTCTCCATATTCTCATCTCTGTCTAACGCGCGGCAACAGTGGTGCAACGCAGGTGGTGGGCAGGCGCACGCCTCTCGCGGGCCGTGGCAGCAGTGCCGCTGTTCCCTCGACTACATCCGCACGGAACCGACGCAGCCGCGCTTGGATGAACTACCGCGATCTAACATGAAGTCCAAGCCGCCGCACTACGTTGACGCCCCGTTCAGGCCCTGGCCCCCGTTGTCACGCCAGGTCCAACCTAACTTTTATTTCCGACCGCCGGACCCAATGGATTTGAGAAACTTTAAAACCGCATCATCGAAGGGTTCCACTTACTCGGATTTCTCTGCAATGAGTGCGTACAGCAACAAATCGCGGGATTACTACTTCTTGTCGCCGAGCTATAGATCGGCTGGTGCTCCGACGCCGAGCAGCCACTCGGACTACTATCACGGGCGTGAGAAACCGCGCCACATCCGACACCCTATCCCAGCTCCTCCGGCTGCGTGTCCTTGCAGTCGATCACGTTCCCTGGAGGACGTCAGGACAGAGGTCGTCACTGAATGGGAAGACGACGACGAGAACGGTAACAGAATAGTAGCACCAGCTACAAAATTCAACCGTACCTCATATAAAACGAACACAACTTTCCAAAAGCAAGGATTTCTCACGAGACATTCCATGGAGAATCTTGTCGACAGACCTCAAGTTCTGCCACCAAAGCGTGTCTCCGCTTTTCAGGTAATTGGATCTACTTTCTATCGCGATGGGTTCACGGTTACGTTTTCTTCTTTTAAGGAATCTATTTCTGAGTGGGAGTCGTTTTCTTAAACTGTGTGCGTTCAGTACTGTACTTATGTGTACTTTCACATTTCCTTTATTTACATTATTATTTTTATTGAAGCCAAGCGAAATGTGTAATTGAATGTGCCTCTTTAGCGAATGTTTTTGAGTACATATTTGTGTGATGTGATGTATTGCGCGGTCGGCCGCGGCTGTGGGAGCGAGCAGCTCCGGGCCCGTTCAGCTCCGGTGAACCGCAACGCGCGTCCTGCGCGTGTAACGGATGTTCAATACTCGTTTTTTCATCACACCATGCCACCGCAACTCATTCGTCACTTACCTTATCAGATTAAATCTTATGTGTTTCGCTCTAAAGCGAAATTAGGTTTTCAGGTAATTCGGACAGTTTTTGTTTCGTTACTCGGACGTCGCAATGCGAATGTGAATTGTGACCTGCCAACTTAATTGTGCATTGTTTCTGAATGAACTTGATTTCATAACATTTATTATGAAAATAAATACTCATTAACAACGATATTAACATAAGTATTATCCTCTTCGTGTTTAAATTACTTGAATGTATTTCAAATGGACACTAATTCATTGATCATCTGTTAATAAATTATTTATAAATAAACATCTAAATTATATGATACACGTTAATGTATTCAAGGCCTTTGTTTAAACTTTAAAAAGTTTCAAGCACACCTATAACAACAATGTGTAATGCAATAAACATGTTGTATTAAATATATTTGAATTTCAAGCGTTGTTTACGTTGTTTAAAGGATTTCCCGACCGCGATATCGCCATGAATAAATTATTCTTAGGGACTTTCTTATACTAACATTTTGCGTAACTCAATGCATAATGATTACCTAAACTTTATCAAAGGTTTTGCCATATTTTAAATTGATTCTTATATCATTCAGTAACGGTAACATTTTAGAACATATCTACTACTAATAGCCTATCGTTATGCAATCGAGAGTTCGGCATCAAATTAAGAACTTTTTCTACTTGTTAAATGCGGTAAAACTTCGTGTAATACGTAATAATACGTGATGATTGTCACACATGACTGGTCGATGTGATGTGCTAATATTAAAATCAAAAAAAATCAAAATCAAAAATATTTATTCAGTTTAGACCACAAGTGGCACTTATGAACGTCAATAGAAAATAATAAAAAAAAGAAAAAGGTAGCCCTTATGGGGCACTTTACATGTCTCCTTATCTTTTAATAGATCGACAAAGGCGTCTGTGCTGAACATTATTTGTAGACATGTATGATCTGAGACCCAAATATCGTAAATTAGTTTACCCTGGTTCACGTATTCTCGGGTCTCATCACTCGCGCTAACTTATGCTTATCAAAATAATCAAGAAATGATTATAATAATTGACGCTTATTGGTAATTTCAAACATTCCTAACGGTCGACATCATATCCATAATCTATTACTCATATTCGCTGTTTAAGTAGATGACGCGCACGTACATAAAAACGCACATAAAAACTTGCGAATGGCGACAAACCTCGTCAAAACATAAGTTTTGACGGAGCCGTCGCCGCGCGGTAAACAAACTAAGCGAGAGAATAAAAGCGGTAAAGTACACTTTCTATTACAACTTGCGAGTTTCGAGCCACGCTCGATGCAACAGAATACGTTTACGAAGACAACATTGTAAACTTTAACTGGTTTTATTGCCATCAAAGAAATTTATAGTTACGTCTTTGCCACCGACTGGATTTACTTATTTTGAAATACCTATTGATACATTATGCTATGGCATTCCTTTGCTCACTGAAGGCATGTAATTTATGAATTCGTGTCGTCTCAGTTCATTAAAAATGAAAGTTTGCTTGGTTTCGTGTCGTTGTTATCGGTCAGCAACTGATCTATTTAAATTACAAAACCTGTTTGGTTGCGGCAACTGTAAACCGGTTTAATCTATTCAACCTGAATATTACGGCACTGAACACAATTGCTGCAGAAGTGCACATTTTCTAATGTCATCATTAGCGACACCTTTATGCTTTATGTAATAAACAAGCATGCTCTCGAGAATCTTCTGAATTGATTTGTTTAATTTGGTTTGCTAGTTTTTCTTCGATCATCGTCATGATGTCATAAACCGTTTTTTAGTAACACCTTTTATGTCAATACCTCGGGTATCGTGCGTTTATGATTTCGTAATTCCGTATTTGCCGTTCTCTGTTTAGTATTGTCATTGCAAATTAACAAGAAATGTTATTTAAGTTAAATTTTGATTTAGGTCTTTTAATTGACGTTCTACAGCTTTAGGATAAATTATTATAGTTTGGAAATGCTTTTGGAAATAAAGTATTCGACGCCAATACGTTATAGTTCATAATAGTTCATTGGACAATAGGGCATAATCAACCAAAAGGAAGGTATTTACAACTTGTTATCTTGTCCATATAGATATATTTTATAACTATGTATTATCGTACCTATTGGTTATCTTAAATTATCTTTATAAGAAGTTTAAAGGTTTTTAGAATCACCTTACAGACGCCAGCACATCAAGTTAAATAATGTGAGGTCTTATGTAGTTAAAATAGGGTTGAGTTTTAAAAAAAAAATAGTCTGATGTGCTGTCGTGTCTACATATCTACTTTGAGATGCTAGATCTCATTTTATATCAATGAACAATTCTCATCAATCTGACTTCACCATATCTTACTAATTTTTAAATAAGTAGAAAATAAAGTAGGAAGCCACTTCTTAAAACATTTATAAAAGCAACAGGCAAACACACCAATTCCAGAAAAATAAATGAACTCCAAAAAAAAAAAAAAAATAGAACATCTAAAAATTCCTGTCTCGAAAACCTGTTTTGAAATTTTTCGTTTCTTAACTCTCATTAATACCCATGAGAGTCATTTTGTATATTTTTAGTAAAATGTGAAAAATCAATCTCATTTTTAAATATGAGACTATACACGAGGTCACAATTAGCCAATTCAACATTGGTGTGATGTAAATAATGTAGAGACAATATGAGCAGCATGAAGAACATTATTATTATTCATAATTGTAAATAAAGTATGAAAATAAAATCAAACATTTTTATACAGATTTTTTGGGTAAGGAACCATTCACATTTTTTATAATGTTCAAATTCCTAGAGACAAAAAGTTTAAGCGTCCATCATGTCGTATACATAATATTGACAAATTAATCAATACAATCTAAGTACGTTCGTCAACGCGATGTTTTGTTTATACCGCATGTCCACCCACACAATGATATACGAGTATATCCTATTCACACATACATAGTTGTTATGACAGGCGAAATAAAAGAGCTTCCTTGCATCATTCTACTTTTACTCACGACTACGGAAAAGGCACTCAAAATTAAGGCTTTTTCGCCTGTCATTTCACCGTAGTTGGATGTATTTTGATTTATTGATGGTGAGTTAAGTTCTGGGTCACGTATTTTTTAATGAAAGATACAAATTCGCTTGAACCTTTTTGGTGTGCCATTTAAGTGTGGTGGGGAAGGAACATCAAGGTAAACCTCTGTGGTATCTATCATATGTAGTTGTAATAGGTGATATTTTACAACAAAAATGTATTTTCTAATGCGCTGTCGACTGTAGATGGAAGGGCTCCTCGTGCCAATTGAATATCGTGTGTTACATTGACGCCCTTAGGCTCTACGCAGATTGATATTGGCAAAAAAATATTGTAATAGTAAAAGTGAATGGTTAATGTGCGTGAGAAGGATATAGCTTATATGTCGAAATCCTTTCGCTTGTAGACCCCTTTGTGACAATATCGTAAAGTGATTTTATATGGGTAAAGTTATATGCGACGAAATAAGGGGTAAGTGTGACATTCGAAATCAAATCGATGACGTGCCACGTGAAGATACTATTTTTATTTGGAAATGCAAATAATATAGAATTAATGAACGAATACTGGGCGTTGAATTGAAAAAACAAAAATATGTTACCCAAATAATGAGTGATGTAAAACAATGGTTAAATAAGTTTATATACTCGTAGTCTTTGACTGTAAGTTATTGTATAGTCTGGTCTGCGAGTACGTAGAATTTTGTCCAATGACCCCAAGCTACCCATCCTTATCGCTCGCGCGTAATTATATTGCTGTCGCGACTGTGCGACGTGCGCCCGCAGTGAGTGTGCGAGCGCGACAGCAACATAATTACGCGCGAGCGATAAGGATGGGTAACTTGGGGTCATTGGACAAAATTCTACGTGCTCGCAGACCGGGCTTTAGACCACATGGTACTTTTCACCTACATTCCCAAATCACAAATTTAGAGAAAGTTTCACACGTATTATAAACGTCCTCTAGCGTTAGTAGGATTCAAAATATCATTTGAAGTTCGTGAAACTGGCTCTAATCACATAACATAATGCATGATACTTTTTAAACTTCTTATAGGTCGCGCAACGAAAGTTGAGGCGAACACATACTCACACTGATGTTAATTTGAATACAGAACACAAATCAATCGAATATGCAAGACGTCAGTGCGATAACCATACAAATCTTTGCTTGTGTTGATCGCCTCAACTTTTGCTGCGCGACCTATAGGTAGACGTCTGTTTTAAATTATAGTATGATTGCAGGCCCAAACCAGAAATGGTAGCCACCAGAGCGCTCCGCTGTCAGCGCCCAGTGGCATCGCGGGTGCCGAGGTAAACGGCTCCCGACCCACCTTCAAACCCGTCACTGTGCTAGAGGACCTTCAGGCAGTTCGGTGCGCCGAATTCCACCCCAACGGAAAACTATACGCAGTCGGATCGAACACGAAAACCCTTAGGATATGCACATACCCGAAGATTGAGGAAATCAAGTAAGTTGCACATTTAGTTTCTGACTTCTGTAAGTAAAGTGTAATTTAACACTAGAGATTCTTGAGATTTCTTGGCAAGACGAAAATCGCCGCGAGCTCGCAGCGGTATTGCAGCGTTCGTTAAATCGAGGCGGTTCACGCCGCACAAATTGCTGTGAGAAAAGGCTCAAAACTTTAGAGCCTAAAGTATGTTAGTTGTGTGACAGGATCTAAGCTGAACGAACCGCGGACAAACAACAACAACGATTTAAAATGAAGTGGGGCAACGTTATGCTAGATTAGACAAGAATTCTTGTAATGAAAACAGAACAAAATATAAATTCTGCTCCATTAACATAAATTGTGGAGGTTTCGCAATCAAAACTTCAAGAAGTTGGATGTAGCTGCCTAGAACGAGTTCCATTAGAGAATTTTAGTTCTTTTCAAATGTCGTACGCCTCACCTGCTAGGTAAGGTGGCGTTGATGTCATCCAAAGATTGAACAAAGTTGCTAAAGGTCATGATCGTGAACTTCGTGTTTTCAATTATAATTCAACCTGTCATCCAAGCGCATTGTTGGAAAGGTTGTAGGTACAAAAACATATTAAATCTTGTATAAAAATAACAAGTTGACATTGTGAGTCGTAACTGTTCTTGTCTGATCCAAGTTTAAAAGGGTTTTTGAGATAATAAACATTGGCAAAGTCGTTTCACTCGACCTCTGGCGGTAGCGACCCTGGTGGTTCCTCGCGCGCCGCCCTAACCTTGCCCAATTCATTACCAACAATGGAGTGAAGTTGTTCCCTTCGGACAATATTTCCGTCAAGATTAATTAAATAATGACACTTTGAAATATTTACAGCTTTATTGCTGTAATCTTTCATGATAATTTAAAACAAAAGCGCCTTAGGCTAGACTTGGGATAATGAGATTGGGTAATCTTCTATATATATAAAAGAAAGTCGTGTTAGTTACTCCACTTATAACTCAAGAACGGCTGAACCGATTTAGCTGAAAATTGTCAGGTAGGTAGTTTAGAGCCAGGAGAAGGACATAGGATACTTTTTATCCCGTTATTTATTGCCATTAAGGCGGAACAAAGTTCGCCGGGTCAGCTAGTTAATAATAAAACAAACATAATTACATAAATTCGCTCTGGGACTTTAAATGTAATACGAGTAAAACAAATTTTGAGAACCAATTGATCTTGTTCACGCCTTTCATTGTCCAATTCTGTGTACTACTAGACTTTTCTTTGGTTTGGTTCGTGTTCCGCAATAACAATTAGTATCTGCTTATCTTGAATAAGTGAGACCTTACCTTCTAGTAACAACTACACTATCCAATGAAAAACAAATACCGACATCAAAGATCCATCATGAAACTGTCATCTTAACAAACTAGTATTTTATCCTTATAACTTTTAACTCGGTTAACTTACATAAAGACCTTCTTAACTTGTTGCCCTCGTCTAATCATAATTAGAAGTAGGCAATCCATCAGTCTATTTGTTCTTTGTGTTCAAAGAAATTTCATTTGGTACGTGGATATAATAATATCATAACTCTCAAATATTTATCTGCCTTCGAACATATGGTTTGTATTGTATAGACTTAATTAAGATTCAACTCATGTCTTAACTAGGTATCATAAAAGGTACGGTAATGCGAGACATGGCATACTAATTTTAACAACAGTCAGTAAACTTTTCGTTGAACAAATTTTGTTCGAATTAATTTTCCTTCCATAACGAGCTTTTATAAATTCGAATGCTATAAGCGTTGAATCAAATACTTTCCCTTAACTATTTCGAACTGAGTTTGCAGATGAACGGAACTGAACTGTACATACTTTGCTGCGAAGTTCCGATTTCATAAACCCGTCTCGAAATAAAAATTCAATCATTGATCAATGTTTTATTGCTCTTGGTTGACCAAAAGAACGTTCGCCACTTGCGATAAAACTTTGCGCAACCAATTCGAGGTGTTACTGCAATAGGATATAAACAGGATATATAAATATAAGATATACCTAGATAAGTATTAGCCAACTAGTCTTAGCTAAGTACTGACCTAACTGACGTGACCTGTATTCCTGTTGGCTCTACTGCGCCACGGCTGTACTGTGAAGTACTATGGTGTTGCGAAAGCGATGACTAATCGCGATAGAAGGGCAACGACCTAAACCCAAGCTAAATACACGTTTGTACGAATAATAAAGCACAGATAGAAAGGTCGTCCTCAACTTAAAATTGTTTACAAAGACAAAGCTATTACAAACTTGGTTCCTCTGAGATTCATCTAGATTTTAGATCGCTTGTCGCGAGATCACGTCTCGCTACCAAGTCACGACCAAGGAGCAGTGTTCCAGTGTTCATAAGTTAGTTATTTAGTTAAGTAATTCGTGCGCGTAAATTAGCGGAATCGTGTATACTTCACAAGTATTTACTGTAAGTTTGAGTGGTTTGAGCCGCTAATTATTTGCAGCGAAAAAACGTTTACCTATTGTTTAAAAATTTTAGTTTTTCTTTTTTGTTTAGTTATCAGTACATTTATGTTCATGGCCAGAGTCAAAATTAAAACTATTTGTAGGTATATTCTATGTTAGCGCATTGTACTTAAGTGAATTGTTTAATATTATGCAACGAAATGTTTCTGATGCTATTTCAACATAGCGATGATACTTAGTAAGAAGTCCGTATTACAAAATTGAAATCTTCATTAAATTAAATGAGACGGCGTTATTATTATGGAGGTGCTATTCTGGGGTTCTTAATATTAAATCATAATCAATATTGACGATCTTATATGAATAATTTATCTTATACTATTATTCTAACTGAAATTGTCTAGATACTGTTGTTCTGTCACATTAGTTTGATAAAATATCTCCTACTTGATTGTTTCTAAGATAAGCTCTCCTACGAGACAGGGCTTAACCTAGTGTATCATAAGTCAATCTCTGACAACTCATAGTCATAAAAATGGTAATTTTATGTGCTCAATAATAAAAAAGTAATGTTGCTGTTATTGTTAAATATTCAGCGGAAAACCTATAGAAAAACAGAAGTCACTGCACTTGTTTACCGTACAGTTTCAGCTCATTTATTTATTATGCAGTAGCGACGATCGAATTCGACCTTGTCGGTACGGGCTAATATTAAAAAACGTCAATATTTTAGTATGGACGGAGTAGCGTGTGTATAGTATATTCATGAGAAAGTTAACGGGTACCACGTAAGATATTGTATAAGACAGAATATATCAGCCTTAATCAACCGAGAAACGCGTCGCATGCATATTTAAAAGCATTAGGAAGTATGTATTATGAAATCTTGCTTTTGATTAAATTATTAACAGTGACCTAAATATTAGTCTTTGAGTGAATAAAACATCTTTTGAGGTTTTTGATATTCGAACTACGCAGGAACGTAAAAAGGGCAAGCATTTATTGACCACTAGCGGCCGCCCGCGACTTTGTACGCGTGGACCCCATTTTTCCTCGTTTTAACTTAATCAATCGAATCAAATTCAATTCAATCAAAACCAAAATTTCTTTATATACAATATTATTTACGAATGTCAAAAGTAATGTTGAAAGATGGCGCTTTTTTGTAAATATTTTTCACGTCTTATTTATTTATTGAAAGGTTTGTCACATATCGTAATAAATTATAGCCTATATGTTATTCTGGGTAATAAACAATAATACTGTAAAGTTTCGTTGAAATCCGTTCTGTAGTTTTTGCGTGGAAGAGTAACAAACATGTTGACATCCAGACATCCATACAAACTTTCGCATTTATATAATATGAGTAAGATAAGATTGAACTAGTACGTGCGTCCGTGCAACCAAAATCAATTAAGCTTAGTAAACGAAGCGCCAAGAAACGGCTAAGTTCGCGCTAAACTACCCCCCCAACAACTTTTGCTTGGTGACGTAAAGTTTTATCAGCAAATTAAACTTCAGCATTAATTTGAATCCATCAACGTCACAACACGATTTTGGGGATGTCCAAAATATATTGTGTAGATGTACGAATTCAAAAAGTATAACTCTTTCCTTCTGTAATAGACTAAGAGCTAGTGAACGCCAGACCTACGTTATTTTATAAAGGCTGAAAGTTTGTCAGCGCATGCTCCCAACATAGCTAAGAACCATGGCCAAACATGAAGTTTGGGTCATGGTGGCTTTGGCAGACAGACGGTACTAAAGGTGTGTAAAATACCAACTTAATTACGTCAAAGTATAAAGGCTGATTTTTTGATATTTCCTTCAAAATGTTATTAGAAATGACGTCATTAATTGACAGACACCTACCATGGTGGCAGCCCTTAGCCAGACACCTTAAAGTTCATGAAAATGTAGTCCTACTTACGTCATACTATAAAAGCTGATATTTACATAAAATATTTGAACTATCATTTGATGAAGTTTCCTCATCAGCCAGACACTTCTGATGGTTCCTTCGCCTTGCCAGACAGCTTTTAGGGTGGCTGAAAGTGCGAACGCGAGGCACTATAAATATTGTTATTTGTACTTTTTCTTAAGTTACTCAAGTATTTGAGTCTGTAATTCATCATCTCATGTTGATGAGCTGATAATGGAAGGTAAGTACAACTCCTTAAGGCTTAGGAGTTGGAGGACAATTCTTTAACCAGTACGAGTATAAATAAGTATAGTTTCTAAAGTTATTTGGGTGTTTGCATCAGCTAGTCATCATCTCATGTTGATGAAAGTTACAACTTCTTAACGCTTAGGAGTTGTAAGATTATTCACGTCATGCTCCCCGGCGAAACTACTTTTGATTTAACTAGTGTAAGTTTCTAAAATAAATCTATGAAATGTCTATAAAATTATAGTCCTATTTAAAAAAAAACCATGTCTCAGGTTTCGCCGTATTTTGTTATTGAAAGTGGTTGCGCTGCAGAGTATCCTTCCAGCGAAACCATCACGATATATCTATTACTATGCATAGTATAATCAAATTTATAGTATCAAATAATTCTATAACAATTCTATATTGAATTAGGACCCCCAAATCCTCATTAGAATTTATATACACGGAAAATGTGGTGCCACAAATTTTCTCTTCGAAATAGTTTCTAAACGCCTAGAGTAAAGTTCATAGCAACATTAGCATTAACATAGGTAATGCTAATGTTGCTAAGAACTTTACTCTAGGCAACTTTCAGAGGAAATCACTTTAAAATTGGGGATTGGGGGAGTTGTACTTACCTTCTATATCAGCTCATCAACATGAGATGATGATTTACAGACTCAAATACTTGAGTAACTTAAGAAAAAGTACAAAAAATAATATTTATAGTGCCTTGCGTTCGCACTTTCAGCCACCCTAAAAGCTGTCTGGCAAGGCGAAGGAACCATCAGAAGTGTCTGGCTGATGAGGAAACTTCATCAAATGATAGTTCAAATATTTTATGTAAATATCAGCTTTTATAGTATGACGTAAGTAGGACTACATTTTCCTGAACTTTAAGGTGTCTGGCTAAGGGCTGCCACCATGGTAGGTGTCTGTCAATTAATGACGTCATTTCTAATAACATTTTGAAGGAAATATCAAAAAATCAGCCTTTATACTTTGACGTAATTAAGTTGGTATTTTACACACCTTTAGTACCGTCTGTCTACCAAAGCCACCATGACCCAAACTTCATGTTTGGCCATGGTTCTTAGCTATGTTGGGAGCATGCGCTGACAAACTTTCAGCCTTTATAAAATAACGTAGGTCTGGCGTTCACTAGCTCTTAGTCTATAACTAATAAACTTAAAAAAACAACCAACATAGTAGGTACATATGTTATAAACCTATTTATTATTATTTAACAAGTATTGGATACCTAACGATTTCGCAGGCCACTTTTATCGAAGGCTAAGCGAAAATATGCGACAAATCTAATCAATAAAGAAGCTGCTGGCAATCTCTAGCCAATTTCCTTTTACGATACATATTCACATGATCCGAGAACGTTCATTACAGAAGAGTTAAAAAGTTGAAACCCCAAGTATCTAAGCGCTAAAAGCCTTGCTAATAAACCCTGTAATGATATGTCGTGCATATTGGAAATTTGTTTGCCAATTAAACTATCGTGAAAAGCGTTTTTAAAATTGCCTTTAGTCGATACTAACTTACCGCGAAAAACTTTTAATTTAGTAAATTAAAAGTTTTTCGCGATTTGTCTACTTTGCTCGTTTGTCTCGTGTCCAATCTTTTTCTCATTAAGCATGGTCTACCTTTAATCGATTGATATGTGATAAAATTATGTCTTTATTGTTTGCTATGTTTGGCAATATTTCAGGTAAAATAGTGCACTGCGTGCGTCGTTTATCTAATTTGATCTGATAAAAATATTTTACACAAACTTCTTATTGGCACTTGCTTATTAGCAATTAATTTTTAGTGTTGTCAGCATCCCAATTCATGCTGAGACATAAAGAAATCGAGCAAAATGTGGAGAGAATTCAAATATGTAGTATCACCAGAAATGAACCACTTTCCGCGGATGTCCTTTTTTGTGAGGACAAATTGCGGATCTATAGTGCCATTCGTAACAGGGTTCTAGCAACCCTCTAATATTACTGTTAGTACTAACGCAATAACCAACCCAATCTATTCGCTTTTTAAATGGATGAGCTCTTTATTAGGTGATAACGAAGGCGGTGTTGGATAATAGATTCTATTAAAACTCTATACGAAGATAGTGTTGACTTAGTTATACATCGTTTAGGTTCTTGGGGTTATCCAAGTTCGTGGTATGGATATAATTTTATAGACCTGTATTATTACATAATCAAGCTGTTCATGTAATTAATACATTATCGCAAACAATACGTTTCTATTAATCTTCTCTGCGAACCGCATTACAGAAGTTGCTTGTATTTATCATTCTTATGTGTGTACCTTCCGGGATTCAAACCCGGTTTTGTGTCCAACAATCACTAGACCAGGCGGTGGTTTGCCTTGCTCAAGTCAAGGGGAATATTTTTGCTGTGTAACTTTGTTACAGTGAGTAAAGGTCCACAGTTCGTTAACTCTCGAAACAGGTCGACCCAGTAAGTAGGTTGAAAACGGCGAGTAATCAAAAATCATTGGTCAATTACTTTTATGAAATCAGAAAAGCTTCGCATTCGTGTTTCCGACAAAACTGAGAATATTCTTAAAAATTGTGTTAACTTTATTGCTGTCTATTTACCTATTTCTTTTTTACATTATATTATGTTTATCGACCCTTACTATAAATGTAGACAAGTACTCTGACGACTTAAGCTACCAAAATTCTTTAGGGGAATATAACTTCCTTTTGATTAAATGTAAAAAAAGAAACTGATAAACTCAGTGTTTATAACTTGATATTTCTTAGTAACTACAAAACCTAGTGAAAACTTACATGATATGTATTGGTAGGTGTTTGAAAAGCCCAGGATTTGAAAACAAAAAAAAGTTGTCTTTTTTATTTCTAGTATTAGCAATTAGCATAGTAATGAGTAGTTAATCTACCCTGCTCATCACACTAACATTTGCTGCAAGCGGAATTAATATTGTTGGCTGGATGATCCGTCGTTGGCTATGTCCTTAAAACTACATAATATTGTACTAGCGGCCGACCGCGACTTAATACGTGGAACCCGTTTAACCCCATTAGGGATTGAATTTTGCAAAATCCTATCTTAGTGAGCACCTACGATCTAAAAAAACCCCCATGCAAAATTTGAGACTCCTAGCATTTGTAGTTTCTGAGATTTCGTGATGAGTGAGTCAGTCAATGAGTGAGCTGTCGCTTTTATAGATATAGATTGTATAATTTGAATAAAAAATAACGTGAATATATTGTCACAACAGGGACTACAACAACCCCACGGCCCCGACAGTTCTTTTGAAGCGGACGAAACACCACAAAGGAAGTATCTACTGTCTTGCGTGGAGCCCGGCGGGGGACCTGCTCGCCACCGGCTCCAACGACAAGACCGTGAAACTGATGCGATTCAACAGCCACACTTGCAACCTTGAGGGGCAGGAGGTAAGAATATCTTTGAGTTTAGTCCTAATTGCACAAAAATTCGCGAGAGAACAAAGTGTTCAATAAAAAACATCTTTGGTTGACTTTTTAAATACACAGTTAATCGTTTTTAATAAATTTTAACGTTAATTGAAAGAACTATCGTTATCGCAGCTTCATCTTAATTATAAAATGTTTTTAAAGTACCGGTACAAACGATTGAATGAGTAAATCTTCTACACTTCAAGTTTTGTAGGACTTCAATTTAACTTAAGAGCCGTATAAATGAATCTTTTGTAACGTGAAGTAGCGAGCGTATTACTTTCCCGCTTTACACGTACTAACAATTAAGCACTAGTAAGCACTTACAGGTTTTCCACTTTGATGTTTTACTTCAACCGACATTTTATTACTTTCTGAGAAATTGTGGGAAGGTAATTAAATGAGGCATTGACGAAAGTCTAACACATAATAATCCAAACTAAAACATTTATCCACAAGTCTCGTCGGTGTATAGTCTAATTTGTTCGAGACTACACTCGATCAAAAATTTAACTCGCTTTTTACACATTGGCTTTGATTCTAAAACTGAATAAAATAAAATCGGGAATTTATTTTGTTGCTCTTTGGTCAATTTAGGCGTTACCCTTCTCCACCGTTTATAGTAGAGATGAAACGGATATCCGGTAACTATCCGGTAGGCCGGATATCCGGCCTAAATTTACTATCCGGCCGGATACCGGATAGTAACTCACTATCCGGCCGGATACCGGATATTAAAAAACTACGACAATTTCTTATAATAAAATGAAATACATTCATCTTTGAGGTAAATTTCAATAAAAAGGCTTATAATAATAACGGCTTATAATTAAAGTCCAAAAAGATACAAAAAAAGCCATATTAAGGCCTAACAAAAAACTTTTCCTTTTCAGGGCTATTCACTCTAATGACGAATCTATACTTCTATACTTAATATTATAAATGCGAAAGTAATTCTGTCTGTCTGCCTGTCTTGCTTTCACACCTAAACCACTGAACCGACTGTGATGAAATTTAGCATAGAGATAGTTTGAGTCCCGGGAAAGGAGATAGGATAGTTATTATCCCGGTTTTTGAAACAGGGACACGCGCGATAAAGTTTTTCTGTGACAGACAAAATTCCACTCGGGCAAAGCCGCGGGCGGAAAGCTAGTACTAAATAAATATCTGTTAATGTCGAAATATAGCCAATTAAATTAGGCGATCTTTTTTTCACTGATGGTCTGATTACATGATGCAGTTCAGTCAGATTACGCAGCAAGTAAACTAATTTAAATTTTCCCTATTCAACCACACACTCACGATGGCAACCGAAATCGCTCGAATTGATCTGCCCCCTAGACAAGTGGCAAAATCTGACATTCTATTCGGACGGATACGGATTCGATTTTCGAAAAGTGTGACTTGTCTACTAGACCCACTGATCGCGTTCGACGCACCTGGCGGCGCTAAACTCGTCATGACATACAACGAGACAATGGGCCAACTATCCGGCCGCCGGATATCCGGCTATCCGGCCTAGCAGCTCGCCGGATATCCGGTATCCGGTATCCGGCCAAACCACTATCCGTTTCATCTCTAGTTTATAGTGTTCACCCTTTTTGTCCCCTCCCTTAAATTTTGTGTGTATAGGTATGTAGCATACATTGAACCCGGGTGTGTAGTAAAATCAAATAATGTGTGTTTGGGGAGTGATTTTCGATAATTTTAATGCCTTAAAATTGATAGTGCACAGACACAGCCCCATTTTGGACAATTGCTTGTGACTTGGAAGCGTCGTAACGCTATGCGAACGGAATGGAAACTGGAACATGAAATTCCATTATAGGTTCCATTAATATTAATTATAGGTTCTCATGGCTGGACTAAATCATCTAGACTTAAACGACAATCCCTCCGACGGGTTTCGTGGCTTAGAGGAAGTGAAGGTCACCGCTTGGTTTAGTGGTTAGACTTAACAAATCAATGAGTTACGCTGCCACTTGCTAACAGAGTAGGCACTGCGTTAAAAAGGATAGCAGTTAACATGATGTATAAAATATCTGATTCAAATTCGTCCTGATATACAACTTTGCTCTGGAAAACGATCCGAACTGCTTTTTTCTTCAAATAACTTTCATTGCGCAATTATATTGACGACGAACGACGACGATTTTGCTATAAAAATGTAAAATCTAGTTTGCCATATTGTTCCTTTATTTTGAATTTTATGCAGACGTAATAAGGTTTAAAACGAATGAAAAATATTGTTCTTTGTACTGGTTAAAGGGTTAAACAAACAAAAGCGTAATTAATTTCCAGGAAGCGAAATTGCCCGTTTTTAACCTAGCCTGACATTCATCTCGATGCAAATTTTTATGTATGAGCCTAGGTGTCCATTTGCTTTATACGGGCGGATACATTGTTAATCAACAGACTAAATAACCAGAAGAAATCGTTAATTCATAAAATACAATTTACAATGAGCTCTACCTACACCAACCACAGCGTATACCTACGAATTGCTGTTAAAATATATTACGTTAGAGATAAAACCTTTTCAGTTTATTTAACATTATGGAAATAACTTACATCATTGTTGGTGCGGGACGGTTCCAATTATAATCTGACATCCTCAATCTATTTTTTGTCGTCTGTCTATAGAAATTGGGCAACCTTTCACCGAACTAAACTAACATGTCTTTTTGTCCTTATTGAATATTCAATAGAAGAGTCAGATATATTTTTTCTTTTTATCAAACGAATCTCAGGATATTTAACAATTTCTTTATAGCATTTGTAAGCCATTTCCCTTTATTTACAAGACAAAAAAGAAGTACAAAAGAACCCTCACTTATTTCACATATTATTTTAAAACAAAAATAGAACAACTATTTCATGCGTTTCGTAATATTAATTGAAGAGCACCTCTCTACATATAAATAGACACCTACGTCCTACGTACCATCATTAGTTTCCCCTATCATATTATTGTTTTGTTTACGGCGGATAGATATATTTAATTAGTAATGCGGCGGAATCAAAAGGAATCCCTCGTCTAATTTGCGGTATAATTAATTCCAGATAACCTTGTTTGTGTTGTGTTTTTATATCCCGTAAAACTGAACAGAGAAAAACTGTATTAGACTGCTAATTGCGCACGGATTTTATTGAAATAACATTCGTTAATTTATTTGATAATTACTATTTATTGGAAATTTAATTGGTCGAGTAATCATATTGTTTAAGAACGATTTTCAGAAGCTAACTAATTAGTATTTACACAAAACTTAATATAATATTACCTACCGTATAATACCTACCGTAAGTGGTATGATATCATTAAACAATATGAGCTAAATGCAGCTCGATTTTTATAAGCAATTAGTAATTAATAAAACAACACGAATTCGTTACGTGACTCTATTCACAACAAAGTCGCTATTTACTATTATTCAATGTGAACTAATGTTATTATTCTGACACCTTTTTAGAGAGTATTTCTCAATAGAAAATAAAGTAGCTTCAGTACTTTCATCTCAGGAATATATTATGGTTCCCCTGGGATTAAGTAAGTTATAGATATCAAGTTAAGTAAGTTATAGAGTCACTTTATGATGTTACTGCTGACGTCACTCTGATAAAGACAAAAAATTTATAGTTTTTGTTCGCTTCGACATTCCTTCGACATTTTTTTGTAAATTGCGAAATCAAAATCTATATATGTTACGGTCAAAGTGATAAATGTGAAAATTATGAATAATCGCTGGTTATTATGAATAATTACCGCATGATTTGGTAAATGTGATTAATATGAGGTCATTTATGTGGGTATAAAACTAAATAGGCGGCTTAGGGGTGGCCCAAGGGCCACCCCCGCCGCACCTTAACCTATTTTTCACTTTAAATCAAAACATTATGTTATAGGCATCATGGAAAAGTAATATTATGCAAGAAACATTCCAAACTCATTATGTCAAATTATATTAATATATGATATCAAAACGTTCAAAAGTTTGGCTGTACACGAGCACGTACACAAGATGTTGTTCTCTTTTATGAAATTTGTTAGTACTAAGGTTGAATTATTAAATAATCACTGTTAAATGTGATTAATTTATCACTTTAACCGCGACTGTCGGTAATTATTCATAATAACCGGTTATTATTAATAATTTTCAATTTATCACATTAACCGTAAAACACGAGTAAAAGGACCGTCACCTGGAGTAGAATTTTTAGATTTTTTTTAAATGCCTATTATTTTGAAAATATGCCACATAGATTTTTTTTTATATTTTTCTGATAACCAGCACAACTTGCCTCAACACCCAGTTCCGGCTTGACGTTACATTACGGGACACCCTGTATATAAAAGAAAGTCGTGTTAGTTACACCACTTATAACTCAAGAACGGCTGAACCGATTTAGCTGAAAATTGTCAGGGAGGTAGTTTAGAGCCAGGAGAAGGACATAGGATACTTTTTATCCCGTTCGAAATTAAAAAAAAAGTCTGCTTATTTATTGCCATTAAGGCGGAACAAAGTTCGCCGGGTCAGCTAGTTTTTTTATAAATTAGTACTTATTATCCGTTGTTGTAACATTAGCTGACGATACTTCGTTCGAAGCATCTTGTCGTCAATTAAAATTATATGAGATTGACAAAAGATTTATTGTGTAATTAACAACTTTTAACCACACTTTCAGGGTGTAGTAATTAAACTTGAAAATCGTTTTTAGCGGTGATCGCTAATGGAGATAGCTGAGAAGCCGGTCAACTGTACGTGTTTTATGCTCGCTCTTGACAGCACAATTAAAAATCGACTGGATAATGACTCATTTAGAATATCATTTAGACTAAAAGTCCCATGGCACAATCTGCATAATAAGAATCAAGATTTTATTATAAAAAAATGTAGTTATAAATGTTGATTTGAATAAATTGTGAAAAATATCTTGCAAAAATATTTAAAATGAATTCTGATTTGCCTATCTGTATTACCTTCTATGAATCAGAATAAGAGAAATCAAATATAAACAAATGAATACTCTATTTTAACCAAATATTCCCATAACAATAAAACCTTCCATACATTCCGAACGCTCCTTAGAGCTTTGTATCTTGTTCGATATTTTAAGACCCTTTAAGATGTTATGTTTGATTTCACGAAACTTTGAGCAAACGCGTTTACGGCATTTCATAAGTAACCCAAATAATAATTTTATGTAATATTTAAGTCAATCATTAATCTTTGAAATCACGAAACTTTGAGCAAACGCGTTTCCGGCATTTCATAAGTAATCCAAATAATAATTTTGGAGAATACAACACCTTTCCGGAAAATTCCCCTCCCGAAATTAATTTACACTCCCTCTAATTATGCGACGTTCCCAACATTCCCAATCTGTTGAAAGTGATTGGAATTTTCATACACACGCCCTCGTGGAGCGATTCGATTTTACGAGGTGGCAAATTCACTAAACGCCAGTTTCAATTAAGGAGGAACTTCGTTAGTGACCGTTGTCGGAATAGGCCACTGTGGCAAAAATGTCTCATGGGCAATATGGAAAAAATATCTTGATTTCAATGTTTCCTCTTACTATTTCCCAGTCGCAATAGACCTATAGTTTGTATAGTTTCTTATTTACTTTAGATAATACACAATAGTATAATGATTGTTTAAATTGGCTTAGCTGTTAATCTGCAGTAAATAAACCAGATCACTATGCTGATGCATGCATAATTTAAATAAGGCACACAAAGCAACACCAACACTGGGTGTCTTGTGTAGTTGTGATAGATGCTATTTTAGCACAAAAATTATGTGGTTAATGGGCATTGGCAAGTCTGTGCTGTCATCGCTCTACGTTTCCTTATTTCATATTTATTTTCTATCCAAAGAGGGTCCTACCATTGAAGCCTAAAAATAAGCAGGTCATGTATGACTTCGTTTTTTGCACTCAAGAAACTCAGGCTGTCAAATGTCAAACCCTCAGGTCAAACCTTTCATCATGACATGACTGATGAAAGTAGAGTAATGTATTTCAAATGTACCTTATGTCTGTTCAAATGTTAGGGGGGCGGCTGAAAAATTTGTGGTCTGAGGTTAAACCAATTAGTCATCGTTAACTAACGTTGACTAATTGGCTCGTTACTCCTATCATTAGTTTGGGGACTCGGGGGGAAAACAACCCCTAATCAATTATATAATCAAATGTATGCTCGTCATACTCATATTCAACCGGTAATTATCGGACGAACCACATACATTTCACTCGTTACACAGAGCTCAATATAGTGTTAATTTTATCCCAAATAGAACACAACAGAATAAAAAATATGATAAGTATTAGGAAATTAAATGGACGTCTTACTATACTCGCAAAATTACAAGTAAGTATATCATTTAGATTTCGAATCAGCGTATACTCGTAGGTGGAAAGAATATTTTCTAAAGCAAATCTTTATAAATTATCTAACTGAGTAAACTAAAATGAATCGACAGTATTATGCAAACTAATCTATGCCTTGCCTCAGGTCGACACGTGAACCTGTTGTGCAGAAATGACGATGAAAGTTAGCGCGTGGAGTGCTCTTTTTGCATCGTAAAGCGTTGTTGCGTGCTAGGCAAAATTGACCACTCAGTGTCGTTCAAGCCGCAGGCTACGAGAATATTTTTGCTTTTAGATTTAAAAAAACTGCACTAGAAATTTTCACATGAGAGCGGTGGTCAGGAATATATCACTCGATTTCGTGTTAGCTCGGACTACACGCATCGCCGGATTTTGGAAAATCGAATGAAATAAGGGCCATTAGTTACTAAATCTATCTGCGTTTCGGGCGCTGTTATTTCAAGCATTACGGCTAGACGATTTTTCACTCGAAAAGTTGACACTGACTGTTTTCAGATACTACTTGTTGTTTTGATAATATTGTGTTTTATCTGAATTAAAAATTCAGGATGCAGAGTTGTTTTAAAAAATTCAAAAAGGCAAACATTGACGTCCTTTTTTTCGAGCTGTAAAAACGCGGCTCTCTCATAGATTTTGCACAGCAAACACAACTATGACTTCAATTTCCTTTGTTTGTTTACTATAAACCATATTTTACGGTACCTATTCAAAAATTTTTTTAGAATGTGTGTTCTTTTTTAAAACGTTGTGCCTTTAATTGGTCAACCACCCAATAAGGGTTTTCGCGAATGAAAAATCCGCCAGATGGCAATACGTAGACGCGAAGTCCAAATGCTGCATGATTGGTTATTTTTGACATGACATTGACAGATATGTCAAAATCCACCAATCACGCAGCATTCAGACCCCACATCCACGTCCCGCCATCTAGCGGATCTTTCATTCGCGAAACCCCTCATTGTGACTTGTTGCGAAATGTCTTAACCTTTTAAAACTTATCACGACAGGTCGAGCTGACGATGCACGACGGCACGGTCCGCGATGTGTGCTTCATCGAGGATACGTCGAACAAAACGAGCCTGCTGGTCAGCGGCGGCGCCGGCGATTGCAAGATATACGTCACGGACTGCGCCACCGGCAACACCTTCCAAGTACGTAAACTTGACTAACTTTTCTGATAATACGAGGCTTAGCTTCGGTGTAAACATTACAACCTTTTTAACGCTTTGCATCTAAAAAAGAAAAAGGCATCTTAAAAAATCGGACCATGTCGGTCTGATAAGACTAGAAATGGTATCAAAAACTTCCTCTTGGAATTAAACATTTCTATTTACATCTGGGTAGAATGGAAGAAATGTTATTGACCTGCAAAATTAAGCTTGTTTTTAAATCAGGCATACCCATATAATAATTCTCCATGTATTCAGATAGTAGAGACTGCCTACCACACTTCCTCCTCACCCCCTCAATGCGCGACACTCAATTAACTTCTTTGATTGAATTGATTAAAATGATGTCACCAATCATGCAGAATTTGACCTACTTTATCCCACAATAACCGATGACTAGGGGTCGCAATACCGAATCATTTCAGCAAAACCGGTATTTTCGGTATTGGCTCTAGACAAATACCGATAATCCGGTATTTTCGATATTTCCGGGATTAAGCAAAAGTTAGCAAATTTAGTATAATAAAGTTAGTTTGCGGAGGAGTAGTAAGTAGGTACCTAACCTAAATTAATTTATCTTCTAAATAAAACAAAAATCAGTCCAAATCAAATTGAGTTCTAAAGAGGTAATCAAAATATTATTAAATCTAGAATAAATTTTTGGGCCTTGTAATGAGATCGTAGAAGAAACAGTAAAGTATCTAAACTTTTATCACTCTTGACTTACTTGACTTAAGGTCCTACGTCCCCTAGATGGGGCAGAGGGCGTCCACAACAGTCCTCCATCGCGTTCGGTCTTGAGCTTCGCGTTGATCTCACTCCAAGTCTTGCCGATCTTCTTCGCCTCGTCTGCCATTCGATTTTCTCAGGCCAGTATATGCCGAGAATTCGGCAAAGGCAGCGGTTGACGAAGACCTGCAGCTGGTGCGAGATGACCTTGGTGACCTTCCACGTTTCACACCCATAGAGCAGAACGGATTTAACGTTGGACCCGAAAATTTTGATCTGGACCCTTCGGGTCAGTTTCCGTGACTGCCATACGGGGCGAAATTGTGCGAAGGTAGCTCTAGCCTTGGCAATGCGCGAAGTGATGTCATCTTTGGTACCTCCAGTCTCTGACACGACGCTCCCAAGGTAGGTAAAATTGTGGACAAGTTCCACATGCTCTGCACCAATCCGTAATGGTGTGCAATTCCTCACTCCAGATCGCATATCTTGGGTCTTTCGGCAGTTAATTTTGAGCCCCGTGATGCCCGCCTCTCGATGTAGGTCATCAATTTTGTTTAGATTTTTCATACAAAAGGATTTTCCCGCTAATTCCTGTTCCCGTGGGAATTCCTAAGTAAACTATAACCTGCCCAGGTGTATGAAGAATAATTGTACCAAGTTTCGTTAAAATCCGTCGAGTAGTTTTTGTTTCTATAAGGAACATACAGACGGACAGACAGACAGACAAAAATTTTACTGATTGCATTTTTGGCATCAGTATCGATCACTAATCACCCCCTGATAGTTATTTTGAAAATATATTTCATGTATAGAATTCTGTCCGTCTGACGACGGTGATATAGAGGATGATTCTCTTACAATAGAAATAATCTCCAAATATTAAAAAAATCGAATTCATACTACATATTCGTTGTTGAAAATTATGCAGCACATCGTAAGCGCTGCCAAAATTTGAAAGTTTAATATCAGATTTTTTCTGAGGAAACGTCGAATCTGATACTTATTTAAATGATCTCTTGTAATAATTCCCTGCGCCTGGGTTACTACGTCGTTTTAGTACGGTATAACGGGTACAGTTAGGTGTCAAATAAGGGGATAGCGAGTCTTTAATCCGGTCAGTCAGAGTTTATTGGCTTTAATCGTCATCATCTTAAAAACTCCTTTATTTTGCTCTAGGTCTGCTCCATATACGCTTACTTCACGCTCTTCCTTATTTTTAAATGTACCCGCTTCGAGGAAGGAATATCTTGTGTGCGCCTCAAAATTGGCACGCTTCAAGGAATACCTCCTCAAACGAGTGTACCACGTGGTTTAACGTGAAAAGATGATTTAAGACAGACAGAGTTACCTTCGTATTTATACTATTTTTATGGATTCTAATGTGATTGTGTTTTCTGGCAGGCTCTGAGTGGTCACTCCGGTCATGTCCTGTCGCTGTATAACTGGGGCGGAGCCATGTTTGTGTCCGGCAGCCAGGACAAGTCCGTCCGCTTCTGGGACCTCCGGACAGGCAGCTGCGCGAATATCATCTCCCCGCCCGCCGGACTTTCAAATAAGGTAATAGTCATGCATCATCATTTCAGTCACAGGACGTCCACTGCTGAACAACGGGCTTCCCCAATGATTTCCATGCTGACCGGTTAGTAGTGGCCTGCATCCAGCGCCTTTCTGGAGGTCAAATATAAGAATAGACATTGTCATTATTTCAGTAAAAAAAAAGAAATAAACTTGAAAATCTGTGATTGCTATTGCTGACTGCTGAGCTATGGAGAAATTGGATGAGTGAAAGGTTGTGGGTTAACTTTCCATAATTATGAGGTAATCAATTTTATAAATAAAAAAATATACGTAATATTTCGTAAAAACGTTTGCCACAATCTTAATATTATTTATCTTGCTCTCTATTTCTTTATTTGTTACCTCTTCCATCTTGCTAGCATTGTTTACTCTTGTTTGGTTTGATGGGTCACCGCTTGCTGGTTCGTAAACACGTTTCATTAATCAAAATATCAATGCGAGAGCTGAACGAGGTAGGTACACGATAAAAGGACGACAATAAGTACAGATCAATCTTTTGTCCTGATATATTTTGCTTTTGTCACTGAAATCTTGCGATTGAAATAATAAATAAATCAAGAGGCTTTGTCAATTAAATATTTGATGTGAAAATAACAACTATAGTTCATTCAGCTTATGATGGTGATTTAGACAGATGAAAAATTTCGTTTCATGAATCCAACTTCCTAAGAATAAAAATATTGAGGTGTAAAAATCAATCACTTTTTTGTGATTTTATTCTTCCAAAATACACTTAATAATCTTTCTCAATTAACCTAAACAAGAATTTCAAATACTTATTAGTTTATTATTTAGTAAAATTTGTAAAAAAATATGACATGAAATGCATAATGCGTTAATCGGAACTTATGCTCATAGGGATGGACGTGAATAATCGCATTCAATCAATAATCGGTATGGTGGTCATCTCACCATCGAATCAAATTATTCTCGTAGGTAGGTCAAATACAGTCAGTACGTGTGCATTTGCCTTGTATGGTCGGTTGTGTTTTATGCGATTTCTCCACGAGTTGTTTTTCATTGTTATTTGTTGTTTTTATAAAATAAAATTCATAATATTTAACTCTTTGTAATTTATTGTGTAACAACGTTTATTCCATATCCAGATAATTAAAATGCGTAGATATAATTTTGATTTTACGTAGATAAAATTAAAAATCAAACATATAAAAAGTCGATTAGATTTCTTAAGAAAATATTCTCGATTTTAAAAAATATAGATTAGGTTTAATAGAAGCGCCTCACTAAATAGAAGTGTCATAATCACTTTCTTACGCTGAATAGACTATAAATACTCAGATCAGTCACCTTACTTACATTGAAAGTATTCATTGCATATTTATTGCAAAAAGTGGTACAAAAGGCAAAGGTATTCTCTACCAGCTAACCTTCAGGCTAAACAGAGAATTTGAGTAGGCGGTGCAAAATAGTACTAGTACATAAAATTATCATTATCATCAGAGCATTTAATCTCCGCTGCAGGAGCTGGAGTCCCTACTAAAAATAGAGGATTTTGCCTACACTCCCCTCGCGCTGAAGAGCCTTGATAACTTATAGTTCCTTAGTTCCATTTTACGCCATCCACGGGAGAGTGAGGGTGGTTCTTTACTACTCAGCCGGAATTACACGGCACATTTAAGGTATTGATTGTCCTTATAAAAAAGTGGTAGATCTAGCCTCATAAAACACCGAAGTTGTATTTCCATAGTTGCTTTACAACAAAGTCACATAGGCCATAAAAACGCAACATTATCCGGCGCGTGACGTTATTCTGCCGTTTCCTCCCGAATTGTCATTTGGCGTACCAATGACAGATGACAAAACTGACACCGGACAACAGCCCATTAGATATAGGTTACAAATATTTGAACATTCAGATATTTGACGTTAAAATAATGATTTGTTCGAATGTACAAACAGCACTGTACAGAGAGACAGATGGCACATCAAACTAAATTATGTGCTATCGTCTGTGACATTAGGCTATGCGCACACTTGTCACGCGCGGATGATTTTTTGTCATCGAGACAACGTAGTAGAGATGAAACGGATAGTTGTTTGGCCGGATACCAGATACCGGATATCCGGCGAGCTGCTAGACCGGATAGCCGGATATCCGGCGGCCGGATAGTTTGCCCATTGTCTTGTTGCATGTCGTGACGAGTTTAGCGCCGCACAGGTGCTTCGAACGCGATCAGTGGGTCTAGTAGACTAGACAAGTCACACTTTTCGAAAATCGAATCCGTCCGAATAGAATGTCAGACTTTGCCCCTTGTATAGGGAGCAGATCAATTCGGGTGATTTCGGTTGCCATCGTGAGTGTTTGATTGAATAGCTAAAATTAAATTACACTGGTCATCATAAAAATCGACCCACCCGCGACAAGCACTTTCAAACGTATGCATCCCCACTTTCCACCAATATTACTATACTATATTACCATTTAAAAGCCTAGTTCTAATCTTCATTTCATTAAAGGAAAGGTTTTTACCCCAAAAATGTGTCTGTAGAAGAATCCAGAGTCACTTCTTAAAAAAAATAGGTAGTTACGCTTGAGCCAACTTTTATGGATATAAAACTGTTAAGTTGGGATTAATCGCTATCCATCTGTTAAAGAGGACACGTGAGATCATTATTTGGTTTTATAACCATAAAAATTGGTCTAATTGATCCCAGAGGTGAGCCCAAAGTAAGGTCTTTTTTCAAGTTTTTCAAGTCACATTTATTGTATAATATGTTAATCGTTTATTAGGAAATTAAATGTGTTTTTCTTTAAGAATATTTATTGGGCTTTCAAATAACACCAATATTGTTGGGGCACCATGATTGTATCTGTAGAAACGAGTTTTCCTGTAAAACGTAGATTTGTGTGATCCCGATTTTTGTAATGACCAGTGTAGTTTACTCGCTGCGTAATGTGACTGAACTGCATCATGTCATCAGATCATCAGTGAAAAAAAAATCGATTGTTTTATTTGGCAATATTTCGACATTAACAGATATTTACTATTTATTTATGTATTCGTCATTAGAGTGAATAGCCTAGAAAAAGAAATTAGTTTTTATGAAAGGCCTTAATATGTTTTTTTGTAACATTTTGGACTTTAAATAAAAGCCGTCATTATTACAATATGCCATTTTATTCATATTTACTTCAAAGATTAATGTATTTCATTTTATTATAGGAAATTGTCGTAGTTTTTTAATATCCGGTATCCGGCCGAAAAGTGAGTTACTATCCGGTATCCGGCCGGATAGTAAATATAGGCCGGATATCCGGCCTACCGGATAGTTACCGGATATCCGTTTCATCTCTACAACGTAGTACTTATTCTAATCTATGAAGAGACATACTCGTAGGTACTATCACGGTGACTAAAGTCAACCGAACGCGCGCGCATATAAAAGGCTATGTAGTGCGCACATATAATTCGTAAGATTTTTAAATAGATTTATGCCCGTTTTCACCATCAATCCCTAATTTTTAAGTGATCCCTATGGTAACACATAACAAAAATTTTGTTTTCATAGGGGTCTCTTAAACATTTGGGATTGATGGTAAAAACGGGCATTTATTTTTATAAACTAATAATTATAATTGTGTTACATTATTCGGTTTGTATAATGGACGCTTCTACATTGTTTGGTTGTTCAAACAGAGCTCAGCGGTGGCCTCGTTAGCGGTGGACCCGAGCGGGCGGCTGCTGGTGTGCGGGCACGACGACGGCTCGTGCGCGCTGTACGACGTGCGCGGATCGCGCGCGCTGCAGCGGTTCACGCCGCACGCGGGTGACGTCAGAAGCGTGCGCTTCTCCCCCGGTGCTTACTATCTGCTCACGGCTGGCTACGATGGGCGGGTGGTGCTAACTGACTTGCAAGGTCAGTGTCCTTCATTTGTTTTTTAATTTTTATTCTTTTTCAATAAGTCTTTAAATTAGATGAGATAAAAAATATTTGGGGTTCATTGCTGAACTCCTTGTGTTAAGTCACTGGTACAAAATGGTCGCCCGCCGGTTTTTGCCAGCGCGAAAACCGCCGAGCGGGACCCGATTACAAACGAAAACTGCGTCGTGAGTTTGTGCATTAGTTTTCGCAGTTAGTTTTCTGCATTCTACAGAAGCTGCGGACCCGCAACCGCCGCGGGCGCGGGTGAAAATCGTGCCATGAGTTCTTAGACTTAGGCCTTTCGAACACTGCGACTTTTTGCGGACACGCGTGCGTTTGACAGCCGCGTGACTGAATCGTGATTGTACCGCTGTTTTAGTAACGCGAATAAAGGTAGACGATTTTCGAAGCTGCAGCGCGGTGCAAAAAGTCGCAATGTAATAAAGAACCTTAAAATTAAGTACAAACTTTCGCATGTACGAGGGGCGGCTGATAATTCCGCGGCCTAAGGTACTTAGCGATGAGTAATTAGCATGTTACTCATGTCACTAGTTGCGACACTCAGTAGTATTATAAAAAGCAATCACTAATTAAGTTTGCACTGATAGTTCAATTTCTATCGAACAAATGACATCACCATGTCCGCCAAATCTGGAGATTTGCGGAATTTCGACACCGCGCGCCCGGGACATAATTCCTCGTAAAGAAGGAAAATAGACCGAAAGACATTTTTGAAGAGATGTCATTGGTTCTTCAGGATTCTGGACCTTCATATACTATGGTTAACAATGGGCCCGACTATTTCAACACGGACGAGAGACCTGTGAAAACGACCCCCGCCCTGTCACGATACTGAGTGAAGGAAACGTTCAAAAGTCGAAAAAATCGTTCCGGCTGACCAAAGAATTAAATCGTGGCAGATAGCTGAAGAATATTTCTTTATGTTCGCGAGGCTATTGTACAGAAATGACGGGGGAAACTGACACGCGGATTGCTCTTTCCGCAAGACAACGCGCCCGTTCACGCCGCACGTGTTGCGAGGCCAAGCCCTGAAAGACACCGGGTTCTCAGAGATTGACCACCCACCATATAGCCAAGACCTATTACCTAGCGATATTTTCCTGTTTTTCGATTTGAAAAAGGACTTACGGGGCCGGAGATATGCAGATGACAACGAAATTAAAGCTGCGGTTGGTCGTCATTTTGAAAAAAAAATTTTTGGGTGGGTAAAAGGCATTGTATGCGAGATTTAAGAAATGTATTTCTTTTGAGGGAGATTATATTACAAAATAAAAAATAGAAACCATTTATTTTATTTCATTAAGTACGCGGAATTATCAGCCGGCCCTCTTAGGTATCATATAGGTGAGTTTATTGGAATACAACTTTATTGTTGGCGGTCTTTTCTCTCGTGCGTTTCATTTAGTAGTTGTCAGATCTCGCAAAAACGTTCCTGTCAAGAAGCACGAAGTTGATGGATTTCCTAGAAACAATCACCTTAATAGTTTTTTTGTATGTTACGTTATGTATCTGCTGTAACATGACACTGTTCATAGGCCAGAAATAAAAACATTAGTCAAAAATATTTATTCTTAAAATTGTTGTCTGTCTGTAGCTATAGAAGTTCGAAAAGTTTTACTTGTCATCATTACTATTGTTTAATAGTTCATTACTGGTACGTTTTATTTCGATGTAGGTTCTGAGATATAGCTTGACCCCTTTACTGTCCTCAGTCCCGTATAAATGAGGGGTCTTGGTAGACTAGACGACTGACTGGCACTGGCAAGTTACGGTCACAGTTAGTTTACCATATAAATAACCCCGCACTGTGCAAGCATTCTCAGCAGCTAAACGAAACTTAAACCTTAATAATAGTTACCTATAGTATTGCTAAGGAACACTTATATAGACCCTCGGTATCAAAGCGTCTCGCTTATTTCATTTCCCAAAGGGTTCCACTTAAGTTTTTTACGATACGCCTCAACTTCTTAGCAACGAAGATATATAGAAGATTGAGGCGATATATTATTTTTATAAATGTACGAGCTACTTCATTCTATATTCCGTCACCGTTTCTTATCAGAAAGTGAGACGTGGATAAACTTTAAATTAAAAAAATATTTTATTCTAAATACACATTTTCACAATAATAATTCACAGCGGCTTGCGATATATTAAAAAATCCATCTTCTTATATTGAGTACCTTAAAATGCGTTTGCAAATTTTCACCTGGCAATTTTGTCAGTAGCTCAGTACCCGTCCCCGACAGTTCGTAAAAAATGTGGACATGAGCAAGCGTACCTTTTTAATTGCTTTTATGGTATTGATCGAGTTATCCATCGAGTGTGGTGTATTTAGAACCCCACTGAATTTTGTAAGGGTCGACGGGTACAATAACTTCAAAACAGTTTATAAGTTATCGTGTTTACACAAGGTTTAGTTGATTTACTTGATGTATTTGTTACAGGAAATGTATGAATTCTAGGAATTGTATACTATTCCTAGGAAATGTATACAATTCCGAAGCTATTTAGGAAATGTATAAAATATTGCTTCAGAGATTGTTTAATACGCACATATCCTAGGACATGTATACTTTTCCTAGGATTTTTATAGAATTCCAATATTGTATTAGGAAATGTATAAAACTAAGCGGCACAAGCGCGGTCGTGTGATCGGGTGCCCCTCAGTACGCCTAAAATTTCATTTAGCCAAACCACATTGGCCGATAGGTACTTTTAACTCACAACTATTATTGTTTAGCCTGAAAGTTGTTTTCACACTATTATACTTTGGCTGAAAAAAATATTTGCCTATTGGCATACCTTTCTTTCGTCATCACGCATATTACGCTGAAGTATTGGAAAACCCTAATTTTAACATCTCTTTTATTTAACTATTATTGGCATGAAGGTTTTAGTACTCCTGTAGCTGGATAACAAAGTCTCGGTTAGGTTAGGTTAGACTTGCGACCTCCTGGTTTTTCTTGTGTTGGAAAATAACTGAAAAAGAAGTGAAAAAAGTAATGTATTTTTCTAATTAAATCCATTCTTACTCCCATAAAATGTATGACACTTGTGTCTGCTTTCTTCTTCTACTAATAGATAATTTTATTGGCTATCGCATGATATAAAATATTTGCCTATTAATGTTAAGCTACTTACGCTTTCACTTGTTTTTTAAAGAAGAGGTGTAAACTAAAAATTAAAAACTTAAATCGATGTAATTTTTCGAGAAATGGGTCAGGCCCCAAATTTGAAGCATTTTCATCGATAAAATTGTCCATAGATTACGCCCTTAAAGTTTGATTACTACATGCCCGGACACACTGTATATTCAGTTATAACGAAATAAATATGTAGCCGCACAATTCATATCATACTTCATTTCTATAACAGGAGTAACGTGTTTAATAGTACCTTTCGATTGATTAGTGGTGTTTTCAACCGACTTCAAAAAAGGAGGAGGTTCTCAATTCGACCCGTATGTTTTTTTTTCTATGTTTGTTACGCGATAACTCCGCCAATTATGAACCGATTTGAACAAATCTTTTTTCGGCGTATAGGTAATACCTCAAGGGTGGTCCCATTTAAATTTAATAATAGAAAAAACAACCCCCAAGGGTGGAAAATTGGGGATGGACTTTTTTATACGCAATATCTCCGAGGATTATAAATNGACGGATTTCATACATTTCCTGTAACATATTCACTAAAACGATTCTGTATCTGTTTTAATGTAATTATTAACTTATATTTAATTAATTAATTGAAATACGCGTCCTATTTAGAAAGGTAACTAATCTGGAGGATTTCTTAGGTAGGTATTATAATAAATATGTACATATAACGTAAAAAATACATTTGAAAGAAATATAAGCATTATACCCCTGACTTCCTGACCCAATTAATTTTAATGGTCTCTTAAAATATACAGTGTGTCCGGGCATGTAGTGATCAAACTTTAAGGGCGTAATCTATGGACAATTTTGTCGATGAAAATACTTCAAATTTGGGGCCTGACCCATTTCTCGAAAAATTACATCGATTTAAGTTTTTAATTTTTAGTTTACACCTCTTCTTTAAAAAAATAGACAACATCTCATATATTACTCCAACCCAAAATAAGTAGCTAAGGCATTTGTGTTATGGAAATCGGGAACGACGAACCACAACACACCCAAACCAGAGACAATGTGAAAAGATCGTTTTCTATATTGTCCCGACCGGGAATCGAACCCGGGACCTCAGGATTGGCCCGGCACACCTTGAAAACCGGTGTGTGCACCTCTCCGCCACGGAGGTCGTCAAAAATGTTACCTAAATGTAAAATAAAATAAAATATTAAAACTTCATTTTCTCAATATTCCCATATAAGAGAGAGGAAAAAATGCACGGAAATTCATTGGATATTAGTATGTATCATCTGTGATAGGTTTCATTTGTGTCCGCTACTTTTCGAAAAGTGGGGCAAAAAGTTCCCAATGTCATTTGAACGATTATTTTTTTGTTGAATAGGTATTATCAAAAGGGTGGTTACATGCGAATTTGAAGAAAATATTTCACCCCCAAGGGTGGAAAATTGGGGATAAACTTTTTTATACGCAATGTTTTTAATTTTTAGTTTTTTTTTGTGTTCACGCATTTGAAGTCGGTTTTATTTTTTAAAAAAGTTAATTATGTTACCCAGTTTTGTCTGTCATTATTACTTCGATATACCTAATCCTAAAGTTACACAAAAGCCGTCGAAAGTTCGAAACACGTTTTGGACGAAACCTAAACCACTATGATTTATTAATTAGCATCCCTTTTGATTACATTAGTTGCGGGTTTCAAGACAGTTGATAGTCTGCCTTGAACGTTGTTATTCGGGTTTCAAATGTTGATTGCCAAAGTATTGTACTCGAGTACTGTGGCTTCGTACTTCCATAAAGGTGTATTGTTACTATTTTCAAAGTATGAAATTAAACCAACCACGGTGACTCAATTAACACTATTATTATTTGGAAACGGAACACGCTGTTAAGCAATAGCTGCTGGTGGAAATTGCCAGTATATTGTTGAACTACAAACCAACTAACTAACCAACAGCAAATTGAGTTTTGAAATTAAATAAAATTAGGTAGCTACTATGATATCATGAAAAGTATCAATTTAATTTGACTAGAGTATATTTATACAAACGTAATTTTAGGAGGTACTTTGTCGGAGTTAGGCTGGTTTTAGCGCTGACGCACGCTGACCGTCAGCGCTGATAGCCGAAATGTATGAAGCGTCGGCGCCGAGCGATCAGCGAGCGATCAGCGCGATTCTAAAACCAGCCTTATTAGTCAATACGGGTACAGTCAGCGTCAAATAGTCCGTGACACCCGTAGTAGCCAAAAAGTTCGCGACGTGGTGTCTTTTTTACAACTGAAATTAGGTTGTGTTATCAACTTATTGACCACTTTGGGTGTTACGAACTATTTGATGCTGACCAAATGGAATAAAATATTATTATAATGGACGATGGCGTAGAACAATACTAAAGATTTCTAAATAAGAAAAAATGCAGTGAAAGTGGAGAGATGTAAGCTCATTCTGTAAAAATAATTCAAGAGACTAAAAGTTAAAGAATCGCTGTTATTTTTATACAAGTTACAAATACGACATTTATTGAAAGTCTTCGCGAGCTGAAACAGACAGGAACAAACTATTACTCACGATTCCGTTGTTTCTCGTCGGCTCTTGATGTACACAATTGCTTACACACAGAACGTTCAATCGCAAAATAACAAATCCGCATATTGTCGGAAATGCATTATGCAGTCAAAGATGCATAATGTACTAACTTTCACACGACACACTCGCTATTTTTTCCTATTTACATTTGAGTGTTCAGTGAATTTGCGTACAAAATGTAAATATTGTTTTGCTATCCAAACTTGTTTTTGGAATATTCACCTTGGGATAAGTAACGAATGAATAAAATAATTTACTATCTTGACCTATAAATACTAGTTTAGGATGAGTGTAGAAATGAGATACGAGTAAGACGTCATAGGATGAATACGAAACAACCCGTTCGCGAATGTTCGCGCATCTGGAAAATCTTCGATTAGTGGCATGTCCGCCATTTTGATAGATTGCTATCGTAATTACTTGGTTAATTATTTTCTGGTGAAAATTGTTATCACAACATCACATTTTAATGACTTATATGTAATATTGACTACAATGCACACGCACGGTAGAAATACATGTAGTCAGCAATATTTTAATAAGGTGTAAAATACAATCTCAGCATACTGTTTAACGATTATAAATAACGAATGGATGATATTAGAACAATATTCAAGTCAGGAGCGCATACAAAGCATGTTTTACAATATCTCATTTTAATAATATATTAAAAGAAAGTCTTAACTTTATAGTCAAATTGATTTATTATATCGTTATCAAGCATAAATGGAGTATACTTTCAAAGCATTTATTTTGCTTTCGCTCTTCTACGAAACAAAAATTAACTGAATTTTGGGAAAGTTTATGAGGAAAACCTGCGACGAAATTTGTTTACTGAAAAAAATCTTTGCCACAATGTATAATTAATGAGCGGTCGCCCCTTAGCGTTCTAATTAAAAAGTAAAATTTAAAGGGGTTTGAAGATTTTATTTTAAGTCACAGGGAACTGCCGCTTTTGGTTTTTTCGCAAGTTTGCGTCGCAAACAATTCTATATACATAACAAACCTATTGAATATAAAAAAACAAGCCCGCAGCACAATATTCAAAGTGGTATTGCCTTTTACAACCGTATATTAATAATGTTTGTTAATATACGGTTGTAATAACGTTTGTGTTTAAATGATGTTAACAGTACAATTTTATTTTTTGGTAGCCTTTGTGTGAAGGACCGCCGCTGGCGGTGTTTCGTCATCACAAAAATATACATCCTATTCTGAAATAGCGTAACTTGGGGCCTCAAATTATAATGGTAGAAGATCGGTTTATTCTGTTTTCTAAATCATCTTCTACTTGAGGTCTCTGTAAACCTCTTTTTAAACGAAGAAAAATGCGACCTCGTTACTCGGCTTCACGACAGTCTCACAAGCATACCTTTAACAACTCTTGCAAAATGATATTGTTTGTAGGCTGTCCGATAGATAATGGAAAAGACAGGCTAAAACAAAACGTCGGAAAAATATAGGGTGACTTTGAAATCATTGGCATCCTTTTAATATAAGACTCTACTCATTATACATAGTGCATTCCCCAATAATGAGACAAATCGGGTGTGTGGCCTATAAAATAAAACCAAGTCAGCAAAAGCTGATAGTCACCTGCATTTTTAGTATCGTTTGTCAGATGTAATTAGAAAATCTTAATCATTTCTGTGCCATAAGCCATTAATGGCGGATATTTACTAAAATATCGCGGAAGCCATAAGTTTAGCAGTTATTATTAACCACCACCAGTCAACTGAGATGATTTTATGACGTGTCGAAACTCTTTGTTTCTTCATAAAGTTTTATTAACGTTTAACGTCACTTGTACGTTATGTTTTTCATCGAAAAAGCCAAATATTCGTTATGACTAAATTCAAGGATATAGTGTTTGGGTCTCCTAATTCAAAGGATTATTTGTGAATAGCGTCCGGTCCCCTATCAATAGGATGTATGTTATTCCCAAAATTTTTGATGATATAGGTTTAAGGATTAATGTATAGTCCCCTGCACGGATCTTGAGCCGTCAGGGAAACATGCACATTATGTTTTGTTTTCATTAGCAAAAACATGTTTTTATGGCCTACTGCGACTATTGTCACAAAAATATTCAAAGAATATGTACTCTATTGAAATAAATGTATGTTATATTCGAAAGAAACGGTGCACAAAGTTTTCATTGGCCGAGCGCTGAAAATCCGTGCCGCGTATATTGTAACATTATTTTGTATTGTAGTGTAACTTACAGATCGCGTTTGTTTCAGGCGACTTAACCTGCGCCCTGCCAAGCGTGCCCGTGGCGCGGCATCCGGACAAGGTGATATCGGCAAGATGGCATCCAGACGATTTCTCCTTCCTTTCCACCTCGGCGGACAAGACAGCCGTCCTCTGGACCATACCGCCAGTTTAGTATGCGTACGCAATACGTACGGCACCCGAAACATACAATACGCGACTTTGTACCGACCCAACGACATTACGTTAAAATAAAAGTCTAAAATTATTAAAAAAACATTCGTTAAGTAGCGGCTTTTCAACGTCATCGCGTACGCAAATGTTCGTAATTTATTTATATTGTTGCTATATTGAATTTGTATTATGAACTAGTGTCGTTAAAGCCTCATCTCATTTGTGTTTAGCTTATAAGGTAAATGTTTTACGTAATATCTAAAAAGAGGTTAATATAACTGATAAAAACATAGATTCTTGCTAACACAATAATACTCATCTTTTATTAGACTATTGTCGTCACACGTATAAGTCGTGCTAAGTGATATCCGAATTGAGGATAATTTGGTATTTGTTTTTTTACGAGGTAAGAAAAACATCACATTAGATACAACGAATCAAATTGTTTATCTGGACTAACCGTAACACTCAAACATCGGTGGAAATAATTAAAAATTACAGTGAGCTCTGAAAAATCTTATAGTGTTTACTTTAAGTATATCTCGAATAATATGTCAAAATTAGTATCAAAAACAATTAATCGTTTAAGTTAAAAGAGTGCGAGGTTTTCTTTTCAAGATAAAAATCAAACTAATAAACTTAGAAGAATCTGTATATTCGAAGCTAATACAATCGTTTGGCGGGCAGCAATTACGTAGGTACCTATAGAACGCGAAACCGCCTCTAAGTTATTACGTATTGCAATATAATTTAACGGGCTTTAAAATGTGATTACTGCGGGGCGTTTTGAACCTCGCTCAAACTGCAATCCCGTATGAGAGCTTTAAAATGATGGCCCGATGGTATGATGGTATTCTATTTATTAATCATTCACTTCACAAAGTGCGAACAAAGGACTGAAATAAACATATACTTAAAAACATTTGTGTAGAATAGATAATGGCCGAACAAAAAATATAAGGGATATTCTGCATAATGTGACTGCTCCTCAGACGGAAAAAATCTTTTCAGCGATAAATAATCGTTAATTTAATTCAATATTGATCCCGTAGAAAGTGTAGCGTTTTAGCAGTAGAATCAATTTTATTGTGTGTGCTCATTATGCAGCATCGCCCTGTATAGTCGATGTCGACTAGGCTGAACTCGTCGTTAACGACAGCCGATTACAAATACTTATTTAAACCAATACATTTTATGTAAATATTTAAAAAAGCAAATAGCTGACGAGTGATTAAAATGTCACAATTAGTGAATATTACATAATACATACATACTCTTTAGAACCTATTTATTACGTTTATGATAGTATCTTGTGAAACGAGTAAGTCTTTGATGCTCCTGCAAATAATGAAAATAAAGTAAAAATACACCCAGTGGTTCAGTACTACTAACTGCTACAAAAACTTATCTGATTACAAAAATATGATTCATTTCTAAACTGGTACAATTAAAATGATAAGAGGATTGGAAATATGATTGTGATTTTAAAATTAAAAAGGATTGTAGAAGGGTTTAAGTTCTGTTACTTTTATAACAAAAGTGATTAATAAGTTGCTCATCAAATTAATATTGTAAACAAGACCATTAATTTAACAATGTCAAGTTTAAGCAAAAGACAAGTTAAACATATTAATAAACAACTATACTCTTACTAAACGTCTTTAGAAGTGTAAAACATTTAATAGTGTTTTGTTAACTATAGTCTNCTCTTCGAAAAAAATCGATAGATAAATCGCTATGGTTTAGTTATGTGACATCTCTAAATCTTTCAAACTCGAAACGTCATACGGATCATCTTAGGTGAAAAAGACTATACACTAATTTCCAATCTTAAAGATTATAATGTTACTTAATAATTCTAATTATCAATCTTTATATAACAATTTAAAGTTGATGGACTGTGCACAAATTAAAATATATAAGATGTAAAAAAATAAACGTAATGTGGCTTATAATTATTCAATATTATAAACATTCTTGTCAAACAAGTGCTTACATTAAGTAGTGTTTGAAATACTTTATGCGATTTAATATGACATGACTTATTTTATTATTACATTTGTGCTATGTCTGCTATAAAATTGTATTATTAAAATTATAACATATATTTTATGTATTATGTATAAATTAATCAATAGTTTATGCTGAGTTATTGTATTTAACAGGCCTTTATCCGTTACGTAATCATCAAAAATTTATATAGTAATAATAATAATATCTTTGTTAAACCGAATTTCTTTAACTTGTATATCCATTATAATTTAAGAATATAATCATTATTTACGAAAATTAGAGTTTCAATTTTTAATATATAATTATCATAAAGTAAAAAGCTTGTGTCTGTATGTATCACCTTGTCGACTTTGAATTCACATTTAGAATGGTTTTAAAGTATTAATATTTTTTTTGCTGTTGCGTCCTCAGAAAAGACACAATCTATGGTTTTGTTGTTTAGTCTTGTCCGAAGCTTTATTGCATATTATGCCAGCTGCGGAAAAGGCACGCTCACTTCCCACACTTGTGGGCTTCAGGGCTTCACTGAACGAAGCTATTGATAGAGTTTAGATGGCAGTTGACCACGATCGCCACCGTTCTCATAGAGCAACATAATAATATCCACTTTAAGAAGTGTGTTAATGTCCTGACTTGAAGTCATCCTCTTACAGTTGCATCATAATTAATTTTGTTTAGATGTTGATCAATCAATTCTAATTGGGCATCGCTGTCAGTAACTTGAATACTTGAAGTATACCTGATCATTGCCTTTTCCCACTTCCAAAGTCACTGCAGTAGAATCGTACTTCAGCATAAGGTTTAATATCATTTCCTGTAACCGATCATTGGTTTGCGTGGATAATCATCTGCATCATACCCGTCATCATTGAAATACCCGTTAGATTCGTGCAAATACTGCATAAGACCATAGCAATTGGAAGCCGTCTTTGTAGAATCTTTTCGTAAAATTTTCATGGAGATCTCGACCTAGTTGTGTGTAACAATTTTCAATTTTTTAAAGCAAAATTTATAGCAGCGTCCGCACTGATTAAAGTCGCATCTTCTCGACAAATGGCTTCAACTGTAACTTTAATGATGTCAAGATTTTCATGGATGTCTTCAAGCGCTGAGTGACCATTCCCCGTCAGAAATTTCAATTGGGCGACGGTCATCAATGAGAGCTTTTAATATTGCTGATAAATGAGTCTTCCTATCATATCACATAGTGTACTCTATCGTGTCTTGCAATCCAAAATTAAAGCATTTTCCTTGCCAGTTCCATTAATATAAATTTTTGAAGAATATCAGATTTTGTAGGTGATTTTCGAAACAAACGAACAAATTTCTAACCTTCTCTAAGAAGTCTGATGTGAACATTTATTTCGCTGTCAGTAACTTGTATACTTGAAGTTGTCTTATCCTGATCATTGCCTGTTTCCACTTCCAAAGTCACTGCAGCAGAATCGTACTTCAGCATAAAGTTAAATCATTGGTTAAGCGTGTATAAACAACTGCATCATACCTGTCATCATTGAAATACTCGTTAAGTTCGTGTAAATACTGCATAAGACTAACAATTGGAAGCCGTCTTTGTTTGAATCTTTTTGTAAGATTTTCATGGAGATTTCGACCTAGTTGTGTAACAATTTTTAATTTTTCAAAGCAAAATTTATAGCAGTCCGCACTGATTAGAATCGCATCTTCTCGACAAATGTCTTCAACTGTAACTTTAATAATGTCAAGATTTTCAAGGATGTCTTCAAGCGCTGACCATTCCTCGTCAGAAATTTCAATTGGGCGACGGACATCAATGAGAGCTTTTAAGATTGCTGATTTAATGAATCGTCCAATCATATCTGTACTCCATCGTGTCTTGCAATCCAAAATTAAAGCATATTCCTTGCCAAGTTACATTAATATAAATTTTTGAAGAATATCAGATTTTGTAGGTGATTTTCTAAACAAACGAACAAATTTCTAACCTTCTCTAAGAAGTCTGATGTGAACATTTATTTCGCCGTCAGTAACTTGAATACTTGAAGTAGTCTTATCCTGATCATTGCCTGTTTCCACTTCCAAAGTCACTGCAGCAGAATCGTACTTAAGCATAAAGTTTAATATCATTCCCTGTAACCGACCATTGGTTAAGCGTGGATAAAGAACTGCATCATACCCGTCATCATTGTAATACTCGTTAGGTTCGTGTAAATACTGCATAAGACTAGCGATTGGAAGCCGTCTTTGTTTGAATCTTTTTGGTAAGATTTTCATGGAGAACTCGACCTAGTTGTGTGGGTTTAACGAATTTTCAAAGCAAAATTTATAGCAGCGTCCGCACTGATTAAAGTTGCATCTTCTCGACAAATGGCTTCAACTGTAATCAAGATTTTCATGGATGTCTTCAAGCGCTGTCCATTCCTCGTCAGAAATTTCAGTTGGGCGACGGACATCAATGAGAGCTTTTGAGATTGCTGATTAATGAATCTTCCTATCATATCACATAATGTACTCTATCGTGCAATCCAAAATTAAATCATTTTCCTTGCCAAGTTCCATTAATATAAAGTTTTGAAGAATATCAGATTTTGTAGGTGATTTTCTAAACCACCTTGTGTGAAATCAAGACGAGCGTTGAAAGCGAGTCTTTGCATAATCTTTCCACCGTAAACGCAACGCGGGAGTCAATTTCAGTAAAAGTGAATTGAAAAGTTCTGGCGACTCTAGGTAGATTGAGGAATTTCATAACGGAAACGCAGCTGCGTACACGGCCGGCAAAGAAATGTAAATCCCTACCTTCAATGTTGACCTTGGGCGATACCGGACAGCTGCTACCTTATGAAGAACCCTTTTGTACCCTTTGCACCACCGGCCTGCACCACTGGTGGTGCAAAGGGTATTTTTAAATCCCTTTTACACCACCAATAGTGCAGCGCTACCATATTAACTGTAAAACGATATCTATAATCTATATAATATTAATATTATAAAGAGGAAAGATTTGATTGTTTGTTTGTACTGAATAGGCTCAAAAACTACTGGACACGCATTCATACCTACATACAACGAATAATTAGTACCAGGTAAAGTACCAGGGCAACATAATCATAAAGGAGCTATATCAAATTTATTCTTGGTTGACCCGATAAATAAACATGTATCATAAAATAGCTCCTTTATGGTTATGCTGCCCTGGTACTAATTACTCGTTGTATGTAGGCCCAGGGTATCGTGGGCCTGAAGTGAAATGTTTATAGGCACGTGTTAAGTTTTTTATATTATTTTATTCTTGTCTTTCAAGTATTTGTGTCTTGTATGTTGATGAGGTGATGATGAAAGGTAAACAACTCCTAAACGCTGTTCTATGCATACAGCCAAGCCTCACACATCATGTTATTAGGCTAAACACAAATATAAAAAAACTAAACTGCTGAACATGATGCTTCAATTTCCCGCCAAGAATTCCTCTCGAAGATTCAATGCGTTTATTGCACTGCAATAAATAAATTAAAACTTTTAGGTAGGTTTTAATTTATTCATAACAATTTATTAAATTATTAAGTATTTTACAGCCTACTACTAGTTTTACAGTCGATGGTAGCACAGCACTATTTTTTGGTGGTGCAAGAGGGATTTAAAAATACCCTTTGCACCACCAGTGGTGCAGGCCGGTGGTGCAAAGGGTACAAAAGGATGAAGAACAATAAGTTCAGGCCTACCATAGTGTAACTCTAGAACAGAAATAATTTCGTTAGGGTCGTATGCTGTAGATAATAGAGCACCAACCGTATCTCGTGCTGGGCCAAACAACGCTTTATTTATTCGAGAAATAGGACTATAAGACGGCGCAGAAGCGTCGTAGGCTCGTTTGAAAGCAAGCCAATCATAGATTTTGTAATCAAAATTAGGTAAATGCCTATCAGAATTATCTTTGTTATTAAACAGATTTTGGATAGTTTGAGCTAAAATCAAGAAATCTGAAAGAGTAGGGTGATTGCTACAGTTATTGGCCCTTTAAGAGCGTTGTGTAAGTTAACTTGTGTAAAATGTAACAAAAACTCGACTTTTGTTTACTTTTTATATTTTATTATGAGAAAACAGTATTGCTGCTATTTAAGCTAGTACCTATTTGGTGTTATACGATAAGAATTACAATGATAATTTTAAAAATATCAGAGATCACATTAAATTTAGCTATTGGCCCCAAAATCACAGTAATTGGCTCCTAGAAGTACAGTTAGCCACCGAAAAAAAAAACCATAAAAATCAATGAAACTTCACGCTTTGTAATCCTAACTCATTTTGTCTTTCCGTAAGATTAGCTAAGAATTCGTCATCAGTATCACTCTTATCGATTTCTTCATCTATCTCATCATCGTCAGTACATTCAGTAACATTGTAACAATTGTGACAAAGATAACTGTCTCCTTCTTCTAACAAAGTAACTTAATCTATCTACATAAGCTACCATTTATCTCTTTACAAAAAAACAGTAAAATTACTATAACAAGCAAAAACAATTAAATTACGAACAATATTCATAAATATTTACCTTAAAATTTTGAC